GATAGAATTTCGTTCTTTTGTCTGTCCCTGGAGTTGTTCAGTCTGTGTGTTTTGATGTTTTCTAGTTTGATGTTTCCTGATTGTTTTGTTTATCTATGTAGCCATTATTTTGAAAAGTGTTCTTGAGATTTTTGAGTTCGCTTTGGATGCTGTTCTTGTCGCAGATGGCCAATGCTCTGTATATTAGCGAATCGAGGACCGATTGTTTTTGAGCTGGGTGATGGTGTGATTCGGCATGGAGATATCGGTTGGGGTGTGTAGGTTTCCTGTAAATTTGGTGACTCAGGGAACCATCTGTTCTTCTTGTCACTAGGACATCCAGGAAAGGGAATTTGTTGTTTTGTTCGACTTCTATTGTGAAGGTAATGTTGGGATGTTGTGTGTTGGGCGCATGTAGGAATTCCTGGAGTTTTTTTTTCCGTGTTGCCAGATGACGAAAATGTCATTTACATATCGAAGTCATATTCGAGATTTCAACCGGTGCTTTTGGATGACTTGAGATTCGAAATGTGCCATGAAGATGTTAGCTATGACTAGAGAGATTGAGGATCCCATAGCTGTACCTGAAGTTTGTTTATAGAATTGATTATTATATATGAAATATATTGGTCAGGCAGTGTTCGATTAGGGAGATAGGATTGGAAGGTACTTATTTTGAGGTTTTGATGGTGTCTGGAATTGGGACCTGAATAAGGATAATACGTCGAAACTTACCAGGTTATCGTTTGGTTGAAGTTGGATCCCTTTTATTTTCTGTATCAAATCTGCCGAGTTCTGTAGGGGGTGTGCCGAATTAAGGCGCAGAAGAATGGATCTTGGACCGGCTTAAACTTAGAATATCACAGGCGGAGTTGTAGCAGTAAAAAGGCTGTGATACTGCGATGTGGAAGGGTAGGGAAATCCATTACATTATGAATCTCCCAAGAAAGTCAATACGTGATGTCACTTACTGATAAGCCTTGGGTGGGGTCACATAACCCAGGTGACGACCGGCGCTATTATGATTCCGGGTCATGGAGTGCAAAGTCAATTACCGGCCATGCGAATGGACACTATGATACCGGGCTCCGTATGGAAACTATGATACTGGTTCAAGAGGAATAAATACGTTCTACGGAAAAAATGCAATTTAGAAACTTGGTACAAGTTGGAACATGGAATGTGAGAGTGCTGAAGACTCATGTTGGCAAACTAACCTTAATAGAAAAAAAATTGGCGAGGTACAACATCGAGATTGCTGGCCTAGCAGAAACTCACTGGCTTGGTGAAGGTCACTTTAGGACCAATAACGGTAATCTATTTCCTTGGAAGCGAAAAACAAGAATTTACAGGAGTGATCATTATCAGTATCAGCAAGGTTACAAAAATCAATGATCAAATTCAATGCTATTAATGACCGCATAATGCTTCTTAAATTGGATGGCAAACCATGTAGGCTAAATATTGTCCAGGTCTACGCACCGATTACTGATGCGGACAGAAAAGATATCGAAGAGTTCTATACCAAATTGGAATCTACTATTCATAGGATATGAGAAAAAGATTTATTAAGGCATTTCCTTAAAATAAAATAAGAAATAGATGCAGAGCAGACAAACAACGCTATTATACACAGATATGTGAAAAAATAGAGATCCACGACCAAAACAATCAACCAAGGGATTTGTTTAGGAAAATCAGATTTATAACAAGAAACTTTAAAGCGAGATCATGGGCAATAGAAGATTACATGGGGAGGATAAGAACGAACAAAGAAGAAATTGCAGAGACATGGAGAGCGTATTGCCAGGACCTATACCTATACAAAGTTAAGTACCATCAAGGATATAGCATTTGGAACAATGAGGAGGCAGAAGATGAACCTGATATACTAATAAGTGAAGTATAATCAGCGATTAAGAAGCTTAAATCCAACAAAGCACTAGGAGAAGATCTAATAACAGCGAAAATACTGAAGTCTACAAAAGATGGGAGTAAAACTTTTCCACACTCTTTGTAATAGAATATTGTATACTAGACAATGGCCCAAAGATTGGACACAATCTACTATTATCACCATACATAAGAAGGGTAGCCTATGCAAGTGTGACAATTACAGGACCATATCGCTGATTTCGCATGTAAGTAAGGTAATGCTGCACATTATCAACGAGAGACTGAAAGCTTACATTCAGAAAGAAATACCGGCAGAACAAGCTAGATTTATTAAAGGTAGAGGCACAAGAGAGCACCTCCTAAACATGAGACAGCTCATTGAGAAATCAAGAGAATTTAACATCCCGTTATACATATGCTTCATAGACTACCGAAAAGCATTTGACAAGGTCAGGTGGCGTTGCTTGTGGCGAGTATTGAAGGACATGGGTATACCAAGGCACATCATAAAACTCATAATAGAGCTATACCACAGGATCGGTGAGAGTGCTTGATATCATGTCAAGAGAATTCCATTCAGAACAAGGCGTAAGACAAGGATGCATATTATCACCACAACTATTTAATATCTACGGAGAATATATCATGAAAACGGTGCTCGACGGATGGGAAGGCGGTGTATAAATTAATAGACAAAAATAAATAACTTGCGATTTGCGGATGACACGGCCTTACTCGCGAAAAATAAAAAAGAACTTATCGAGCTCATTCGGAGAGTGGAAAACGAAAGCCGTTTTTTTGGGGTGTATATCAGTTGGACACGGGGCAATTGGACACAGTCCAATCACAAGTCGCTGTTCCAAGGGACCCTACAAATGTCTCTAATCACACGGTGCTGTGATTGGCTGTGTCCAAATGCACCGTGTCCAAGTGCACCGCTCCCGGTTGTATGGAACGTTGATGGTAAGTTATTTGTTACCGATGTGATTTTATTAAAGTGTTGAATAAATGACAAAAGGTTATAGTTTCTTCATATTAAGTTTTCTTTTGACAATCTTGAAACGAATTAATTTATTTTATTTCAATAGATAACTGTCCAGTGCATGTCGATGTAACACCTGAAAATCTAGCGTTTTTCAATGTGCATGTTGAAAAAATTCAGGCAAGTTCTTTGCATTATTAACTTCTGTTTTACTGAACATTGTATATGAAACTATTTTATTCAACGCCCAGATAGCCAAACCTGCGCGAACAGATTTCGAACAGAGCTTGCTATCAATTTTTGATGACAAATAGATAACAAATTTGATGCAGGATCTGTTATATCAAATTTTGCTGCCAAATTGCCGTCAGATATGCGGCAATTTGAGCTTGTTGTTGGATAATTGCTGCAGATTTGCAGCAAAAACCGCGCAGAGCTTGTAGCGATTTGACGGCAGATTGGCGGCAGAAACCGCGCAGACCTTGCTGCGTTGCGCTTTGCGCGGTTTTTGCTGCAAATTTGGCATTAATTGCCTGACAGCAAGACCTGTCGCCAAAACTGTAGCCTAATGTAGACACAGATGGCTATGGGTATTTTGCTGTGGGTTTTTGATCAAATTTGCTGCCAATCTGGGTGCAGTCTGCGCTCAATTTGCTTACTGGGCGAATATTTAAAGATAAATTATATATTTATTGGTGAACAGGTGAGACTCCAGTCCCTGAACTATTCGTGATGAAGTCGTAGGATTGTATAATCTATGTAATCTACAATTCTTGCAGATTTGCGTCGGGGGTCTCGCAACTCATATATATCAAATTCCTCGTCAGAGATATCATTATTACTACTGTCACTATTACTTTCCATTATTTCTTGTGTAAAATTATTACTAATAGTCACAGCTAATGCTGTAATTGTTTGGCGATAACGAATCATCCTTAAGGTTAGGTGTTTGTTACTGGACGTTTTGTTTGTGGCGCTTTTATACGCCCTAAATGCGTTTAGATTCTCCAACCTACTAAAGCCTACAACTTGACAGTGGGTGCTTTCCAATTGCTTAACATATTTTGACACACACGTACACAAAACCAGTTTATTGGTCACATATTATCTAAAATATCTTGTAAGTTAATATGCAACCAATAAACTAGTTTTGTATAACATAGTGTACGCAACTGGAAAGCACCCAGTAGCTTCGTCTACTCCCAGGCCACTTTATCCGCACTCGCCGAGTACGAAATCTGAATGCACCCCCGTAGGAGATAGCGTGACAACATCTATAGCAGACAGCCATCTGGGTAGATCTGTCTTTTTCTTTTAGTTGCTTGGTGGGAACTAACGAGTGAAACATACACCTTGGTCATCAATAGATAAGGACAGAATGACGTGTAATAGTATGCATACGGAAAAATAAAATAATTAACTTAGGATAACTATTATCTTATTACAATAGATTACTTACTTCATAAAATTTCTTCTTCACAATAAAATGCTTTCTTTTCATCATTCTATGCATTCCCCTCATTTGATTTCTTCCCCACTATTTCTACTTTAGAGTAGAACAGATCTACCTGGAAGGCTATGTCCCTACCGTAGATGTCACCACGTTGCCTCCTACGGCAGGGGCCGGTTTATTTATATAAGTATAATCTATGACAGCAGTAGATGAGCACACTTTTTGGGCATGCACATTGAATATGACATCAGTAGAGTATATAATTCGATTATTTAAAGATGCTGTACGTGTTTCCTATTTAGATATTTCTAAAAAGTTATTTAAAAAATTTTGAAAAATTAATAAGAATTTGTTCAGAGCCGATTTATTAATTTTTTAAGCAACCTTTTGGATAATTCTTTTGTTGGATAAAAATTAGATATTTCGAAATCTACATAATAATAACGGACATGTCCACAATTGTATATTCCAATATTTCCTGATATTTTCTGGAGACATATTTGCGAAAAAAGGACTAACAACTCTGAATAGGAAAGGGAGCGCATTATCTGTGATCTTTCAGAAAAATCAATCTTGTATTGATGCGCCTGGTTAAGAATTAACGTACAAATATCGTTTTAAGTTATTTTAAGTTATTTTAATAATATGCAATGTAATATAGTTCTATTATTATTTTATTCTGTTTTGCAGGCTTGGCATTTGATGATTGGGATTTAGACTTCTATACGGAATTGTTTCTTTCTCGATTGAAACGTAATCCCACTACTATTGAATGTTTTGATCTTGCTCAGTCAAATAGTGAACATAGTCGTCATTGGTTCTTCAAAGGCCGTATCATTTTGGATGGCAAAGAGCAACAAGGATCGTTGATTGACATGATAGTAGATACTCAAAAATACTCGAATTCCAACAACGTAATTAGTTTCTCTGACAATAGCAGTGCCATCGAGGGTTTTCAAGTCCCTGTGCTACGCCCTACGAAAACTTATGAAAGTAGTAATTTTTATCTACAAGACATCAAGCAACATCTTATTTTTACAGCAGAAACACATAACTTCCCAACTGGTGTAGCACCTTTCAGGTAAGTTTACAATAACGCACGAAAATAACGAATGAGTAAATTGAATTAAACTTAAAGTTGATTTAATTATGTACTCACGTATGAAAAGATTCTTCGTAATTTTCGGGGTTAATTTGTGAACTCTTCATTTTGTTCAGTCGAAGAATTGCTTTCTGGTAGGAGAATGCTTCTATTGGACAAGACGGATAAGTTTATAAACTCATCTAAAAAGTCACAGATAATCTTTTTATCTATTACTATACAATTGCTTACTAAGCGATTTATACACTCGTGGTCGAAAAAGTTGCTTGGTTTTTTGGAACTTATCCAATAAAAGAGTTTTTTATTGGAAAATAAATCCCATTGGATAAAAGAAAGATAGGTTTCTAAACTTACAAAAAAAAAAAAAAAAAAAAAATAACCTTTCCGACCGCGAATGTATACATTTTTCTTAATAAAATTGTAGCGCTCCAGATTATCACAATTAAGAAGCCCTTTCAAGGCGTAGCAATTAATGATAAGAGCCGAAATGACAATATATGAAACATCCAATATTACAACTGTAACAGAGGATTCAGGAAAAATGTAAATATTTTTATTATGTTTTTGTTTATTAGATAAGGGAATATAATAGAAAGGCTTAATACTTGTATTGCTACTTCGGCTTCTGTCATAACCAATTACCACGCAAATGTCAATAATATCTCTCAATGGCTGCATTCAGCAAACTCAACAGTTACACAACAATTGAGCAAGTTAATGTAATTGGTCTAGATTTAGATATTTAACAGTAAGAACCAATAATCGCTGATTGCTCACTGAGTACTTTTTCCGCTGAACGCGTCTAATTATGATAATTTAAAACGCTGCAATTTTATTGGAAAGAATGTGATGGACGTCATAAAAATGTTTAAATGAAGTCTTCAATTCATTAAATTGCTTTTAACATATTTATGACATTCTTCGAACTTTTGTGCTGTTTAGAAATTTATGCTACATAATATGAAAAGAATATATATAAAGAATGACCTATAATATTCCAGACAGCACATAATATTTATGATAAAGATTCATAAATATTTATTTCAAATTATTTTTTAAAAATATATAAATATCTTATAAATATTTTCTGTACACACACACACACACACACATAAAGGAAAAGAATATAATATCAGGACCTTGAATAAGTTCTCGCTGTTTTCCAACAGATGGCGTTACCAGAACTGCGTGCGTGTAGTTTAAGATGGTAACGCATTTATAAGGAAATACTATAAGCAAGCTTGAAATTCAGTGTGTCATTTCGCCGAAGTGTAAACAACTTTTTTTTTCATAGTGTTAAACATGTCGAGTTTCGTGTCAAAAAAAGAATATTTGCGGGGATTTTACTGCACTACTTTATTCAAAAAAAATCTGCAGCTGAAGCACACAGAATTCTTGTTGAGACTTACAGCGACCATGCTCTGTCGGAAACAACATGCAGAGATTGGTTTAGACGCTTCAAAAATAATGATTTTGATGTTGAAAATAAAGAACCCTCTGGCGCACCGAGAAAGTTTGGAAGAATTGGAGGCATTACTTCATGAAGACTCATGTCAGACGCTAGCTGAACTTGCAGAATCATTAGGAGTTGATCACAACAGTTTCGAAACGTTTGAAAATATTAGGAATGATTCAAAAGCAAGGACGTTGGATGCCGTACGTGTTGAAGCCGAGAGACGTCGAACGGCGTCTTTTTACGTGTGAACAGCTGCTTTAATGGCAAAAAAGGAACGATTTTTTGCATCGTATCGTAACTGGCGATGAAAAGTAGATACACTACGATAATCCTAAGCGTAGAAGATCGTGGGGTAAGCCCGGCCATGCATCAACATTGTCGGCAAAGCCGAATATCCATGGTTCGAAGCTTCTGTTTTGCATTTGGTAGGATCAGCTGGGTGTAGTTTATTATGAGCTGCTCAAACCGAACGAAACCATCATGGGAGATCGCTATCGACTGCAATTGATGCGTTTGAGCCGATAAATAAAGGAAAAACGGCCGCTATACGAGCAGAGACACGACAAAGTGATTTTGCAACATGTCAACGCTCAGCCACATGTTGCACAACCGGTGAAAACCTACTTGGAAACGCTTAAATGGGAAGTTTTACCCCACCCGCCGTATTAACCAGACATTGCCCCTTCCGATTATCACTTGTTCCGATCGATGGCACATGGCCTGGCTGAGCAGCACTTCCATTCTTATGAAGATATCAAAAAATGGATCGACTCTTGGATAGCCTCAAAAGAAATGGTCGTTTTTCCGACGTGGAATTCAAATACTGCCAGAAAGATGGGAAAAAGTAGTGGCTAGCGATGGACAATACTTTCAGTGACATGTTTTTTACGACTTTTTTTAAATAAAGCATTCATTTTCACGAAAAATCAACGAGAATTTATTCAAGGTCCTAATAGTAATGTGTTACATAAAGGAATTATATCTGAGGTATAGTGTAATATTTATGATTGATAATATTTTTGTTAGCATCTTATTATATATATCTATATATATATATATATATATATATATATATATATATATATATATATATATATATATATA